ATAGAGCCTAAGGCCATACATCGGGCTGACCTCGTACTCTAAGAACCAGGGTCAGCATCTCTAGCCAGGGATTGAAGATCTCTGAAGAAGTGGCGGATCCATACGGTGTAAGAGGCATGGTCTGTCTTCACTCGTTTGATCCTCCTTACTGAACCATCAAATACAGAGCTCCACCGACCACAAGCTTGAAGATTTTTCTTTAGGGATTGGATTAGAGAATCATCCTCCGGGGTTATCTGCTCAGGGAAGAAGGCATTGAGGCCAGTCACTTCTAAGCTCAGCAACATGAACACATCCTCGAGGGTGGGCCCCATCTCATGTTGGCCAAGTATGAAAGCGTGTGTCTCGGTGCTCCATTGGAGAGCCATAGCTTCAAGGTTAGCATTGTTGTGACGAATGGATAAAGATCGAGATATCTTCATTAGAATCAATAACCGGGCCTCCTAAAGCCTCTGATAGAGGCCCCTGTTCGAGAGGACATCATCGACCCATTCCTGCCAACCAAATGGAGGGTTAAAGAAAGCCTTGAACTGGGGATAGCAGTAAGGAAAGTCCACTCGCTTAACCCTAAAGCGTAGCGCCGAAGAAGGGGAGATGAGAGCCCCATGTCTGGAATCAGTATCCTCAGAAAGACACAATGGACTCTCCTTCAGAGATGGAAAAGAAGCGATGGAGGTAGCCGCTCGCCAGAACAGGTCCTTTTGGGTAAAATAAGGAGATTTCCTCTACTCAGACATTGGAGGCACATCCCTCTCTCTCATAAGAGCCGGTTCTGATGGCCTCGGGAAGACAAATTTCCTTCGAGAAGACATATAGCTGAAATAACAGGCATAACAACAAGGAGTCGACCGTATCAAATTCAGAATATTGGAATTGAAGCAACGCAAATTAATAGGAATTCAAACGAAATTTCGACATCAGCTATTCGTTTCTCAGAGAATCCATGAATTCAACAAATTTTATAAGGCATTTTACATTGAGAATTCAGGCACGATGTCTACTATTCTAAGGGTTGCAACAATCAGTCATTTGATAATAAGATTTACATGCAACATGATGGGTTTATCAACAAATTCAACCTTAAACATCATCAGCAATTCGTTTCTTCAAGTTTCAAAGCAACATCAATATAAATTCAAGCTCTAAAACAGTGATTTCCAGACTCAGGCTCTATAATGAAAAAAATTGCTCAAGTAATAAATTAAAAAAAATCGACAGCTCTACGACTTCTAACCTTGTGTAAAAATTCATGTTTACGACAACAAATTCAGAATCAGGGAACCATTTCCTCAAGATAGCAAATAAAAAAAAATTTCACTCTCAAGCTCTACAAATTTCAGCATCAGTGGGAGTCGTAACAGCAAAATTCTATTCAAGCTCCTTAGTGGAGTTTCAAATCACAAGTTTCAAGTGCCACAACATATTTCAATTTTGCAAAGATCACAGTTCTTGAGCTAAAAAAAATTTATTGGAAATTTAGATTCTGAAAAGGGCTTTTTTCACAAAAGGCTTCTATATATATATATATATGCACAAGAGTAAGAGCGAGCTGAATTGATACTCACAAATCTGAATGCATAGATGAAGCTCGAGGCCGATGTTGGTAATATAAGCTGAAACCAGTGGGTGTGCAAGCAAAACTGAGATCTGACTGGTCCGAGCTCTAAAAAATATCTCCGAGACCGCGCTAGGCAAAACCACACACGATGCGTTGAATGGGCAGCGTGTGTGGGTGGCGCCGGACAGCTGAAGCAGGAGGAAAAGTCGCGTCAGAGAGAAGCCAATAGTGGTCGGCACTGGGCAGTTGAAGGCCGACAGCACGCTGAATGGCGTTGGGTAAGCCGTTGTTGCAGTGATAAGATAGATGGCACTGGAGGGCAGAGATACAGCAGTGACGGAACCAGACACATTGCGTTGAGCTGGATGGCATTCGGAAGCGCCACACACGTCATGTTGAGTGGGCGACGTGTGTGGATCGGCACTACTCAGTCGTGTTTGAACCAGTGATGGTGGTGTTCGGCGGAGCAAAGTTGAGATGAGATGAAGCACCGATGGTGGGCAGCAGCTTGGGTCACGACACTGGGATGGGATAATCTCTGTTTGGTCACAGTTGGGTCACTACATGACGGTGTCTGTAGCGGCGCCGTCTGCAATAGCGTCATTAGTAGTAGCTTTTGTAGCACCGATAGCAGCTTGGGTCATAACGTCTATAGCAAGCAGCAACGGTGACTTATCCTCGGTGACGACGATAGCACCTGGAGTAGTGGCAAGCTGGGTTGGCATTATGAACAACTGGCCTTAGCTTTTGATTTAGCGGCTGCGAAGCTTTGTTGAAGAAGAAGAAGAAAGCTGAGTTGGTCTCTCGATTTAGAGAGAGAGCTGAAATGGCTGTGCAAAAAACAAAAGGCAGGTGAGTAAAGATTAGGGTTTTGTCCCTTTCGTTGAATAGAAAAAAGAGAGGTATGATTCTTGGAATATGCTCTCAAAAATTCTGAATATATATGTAATGGGCATGCTGGTTCCCAAACAAGAAAAAAAGGAGGAAAAAGTGCGTGGGCTTTATCTTTTAAGGAGTATGAAAATGGGTTTGTCAACCTTTTTTTTGCTTGGAGCGAAAAAAAAAGAGATTTATTTATTTATTTATTTTTCAGATGTTCTAAAAAAAAAAAAAAAGAAGTCAGTGGCGCACTAAAAAAAAAAAAAGAGTAAAAAATATATATATTTTTTTATTGTCAATTTTTTTCAAGGGCTGTGATCAATCATCAATTTTGTCCATAGGCCACGTCAAGATAAAATATTCAAGATGATGTAATGCAAAGCATGGCTGAAAATGTGAAAATATGCATGTCTGAGAAAACTAAAATTTCTCATATACGCAAGAGGCAAATGTAAGAGAAGTTAACTTGAGCCCACTAAATTGATTAGGCCCAATCAGAAAGCCTAAGATTGGTGGGCCTAGACTTATCACCATCAAACGGGCCAGATCGCTTTAAGTCTCGAAAGAGTTCAGATTCACGAACTTAGAGACTTACTCGGGCCCGGACTTGAAAGGGCATTGAGCAAGCCTAGAGATCCGAGGCATTCAGGCTTCGAACAGATTCGATCATAATCTAGAAGCTGCTCCATTGGTGAGTCCCAGAACATTTGCGGACTTGGAGCATTCCGGGATCGAGCCACCAGAATCATGAGTGAGGTTAGAGCTCGAACAAAAGGCCCGAATCCCGAGGACGGTGGGTGGAGATAAATTCACCCATCGGTTGATTTTGTCTATACACGGGTCGAGGTGGCACGACCCTCGGGGGTCCATGAGACCAGCAATATTAGCAATAGGGGGTTCTCTAGGACTACCTCGGCCTTTTGGGATGATTGAGAATCATTGGTTAGGTGTGGCTAAGAAGAAGGGTTCACTGAGAGGTTGATTTCTCTTCGAGATTTTTCTTATCCTCAGAGAAGTCACCTCCTCAGATAAGGTGGTTAGAGAGAATTTGAGTTTTCTCCAAAATTCTTCGAAAATCTTTGAATTTTCCAACGACGGACTTTTAATTCAATTGGTGTAGCGAAAGTACAATTCGTGATTCATGTAGCGATCTTGGGGAAAATGAATTTGCTGAGATGGAATACATGAACTTCACTGTAATTTCTTCAAATAAACCTTATGGAATATCGGATGGCTCAAATCCATTCTTTGATAGTCATGTGATCGCAAAGTTTCATTTGCAAAGGGATGGGGTGCATAGTGGCCATGTGCAGACCGGAATGTGCGATCCATTTTGCCTTGTCCATAACGGGAAAGGGAGATGTGAGGTATTTGGTTTCACCTATTTTCTTAAATATTACTACTTTTGAACAATTTTTTGTAATAAGGGTGTGCTTTGAAGTAAATCCAAAGAATTGGACAAAAAAACATAAAGCAAAAAGTATAATTGCGAAGGATTATACTTAAAGAACTTGTTTGTAATTATGTAGATTGTGTTTCATTCTAAAACTTCTTTTTAAAAAAACCCCCAAGTTTTTTTTGTTCTGGTAGGACAGGGTCCCAATTAACAACTGCTTAAAATTACTGAAAATTTGAGACAACTTTAAGGGTGTGTTTGATTGGACGGACTGAAAAATGGGGGATTAGAATCCATCGGACTTGAGTCCTGGGACTGTGAATCCCCCGGACTATTTGGTCGGATTGGATATGTATCCTGTGTTTGTTTTTTCATGGGATTAGATGTCTGGATAGGACTATTTTCAGTGAATCCAACGTTTGGTTGGACGGACTGGATAGGATAAATGAACAAAAGACTATTTTACCCTTTTTCAATTTTGATGTATAGATTATGTTTAAACAATTAACAAATGTTGATGTAATTAACAATTAACAAATGTAGATGTAATCAAATGTTGATGTATTAAAACATAATTTAATAGATGTTAAATAAATATACATGTTGATGTACAGATGTTGAAATAATTTAATAAACATGTTGATGTACAAATGTTTAAATGTTTAAATAAAACATAATTTAAATAAATGAAATTATTTATTGTTGAAATTAAACATTTAATTGTTTAAATAAAACATCTATTAAAACATCTATTAAATTTAAATAATGAAATTAAATAAAACATAAACAAAATTTTAAAATAAAACATCAATAAAATATCTATAAAAAATTATTTTAAAAAATTAAATAAATAAAACATTAATAAAAAGTTAAATAAAATTATTTTATTTTTAAATTGAGACATTTAAATTTTATTAAATATAATACATAATTAAATAGTAGAGGGTCAAAATTGTCATTTTCGTATCTAATCCAAACAGTGATTAGTCCCCAAAACAATCCCACCCCCTCCCCCAGGACAGGATAGTCCCCCATATGGGGGACATGGAGTCCGGCCGGACATGAAGTCCGCCAGACTAAAAAAAAATCAAACGACGGATAAAGAGCACTATTTAAATTGTAATCCAAATAGTTTTTTAAGTGGATAGTCCCCTCCAATCCCACGAATCAAACACGCGCTAAGTTGCTTTAGAGCACATGGAGATCGCTTTGAACTCAAATGTGCACAATGAGCTATATCGTTTAAATCGCTGAATTTATTACATTGGTTGGTTGTATTGATCTGATGTGGGCATATTTTCAGATCACCGGAGTGTGAAGGCGATCCAAAGGAAGACGACTGGGATAGGCCAGATGAGGTACCTCCGCAACGTACCTCGCAGATTCAAGAGTAGTTTCAGAGAAGGTGATACCTCCCACCCCCTTACATTTTTCAATAGGGTTAATTTCATTTTTATATGTATGGTGTGGTTAATTTTTGTATTCATCTTTAAACTATTAATTAATTTCATTCATTTTGTTCTTAAAGTTTCTAATTTTAGATAATATGATCAATTCGAGATTGTTGATATTGTTTTCTAAATGCTATTGTTTCTTTTCTCCTTGTTTTCAATTTCTAAGTAGCTAATTTCGAATTAGGTTTAGATTTCGATTTAGATTTCTTTCAATCTTGCTTTCAATTCTAACCTCCTTTGATCTTTGGATCTGTTGTCTTTTAGAATGAGGCCCTTGGCTATCCGGTTATCCTGTTTGTTTTCTCTTGAGGTTTTTGTTTCTATTGATTCAAAGGTAAGCAATGGAAGATAGCAAGAACCCTAACATGGTGGTCGGATGCAACTTGATGTGAGCATTACTGCAGTATCTGCTATTACGGTGTGGGTTTAAGGCAGTTGATGGTTCAATGCATTACTCCATCTTACTTGTAGTTGACTCATGGGATTGATGTCCCTTAAAATTGTAGTTATTGGTTAATTCTGTGCTAATGTATTGTGTAATTTTGTATGACATTAATTTCATTAGACATCGATTATTATTAAAAATATTTTTCCCTCGAGAACATTTGTTAGTGGTATAATTCTTTAAAAACATCCATGACAAACTCAAGTCAAGTCGAGTGGTTGTTCATGTTTTGTTGAAGATGCATTTCCCTGTGCAGGGAATCTCAGGTATTTTGTATATCATGTGCATTTTGATGTCTGACATCCTTTCTTCATGTCTTTTTGGCTCTATTCCTATTTTGGTTGTTCAACGTCGCCCATTCAGCATTTTCGCTTCTGGTTGTGAAATAAGCTAAATATAAGGCCAAGCTAATGGCCAAATCTCCTTGCTTTTCAGATCCTTTCACCTCTTGGTTATGAAACCAGCAAGAGATTTTAGGTGTAAAGCAAGACCACCGTACCATCGTTTGGCCTAAAAGTCTTGTATTATCACATTGTCCTATACCAGGAGGCAAGAAATAGACAAATAGGTGGCTTGTAAGCCTCCTGAGAGATACCCAACTTTGTGTAATAAAAAGTATATTTAGAAATTCCTACTTTGCAAAAGATAAAATAAGAAAGAACCTTTCCTGTCCTGCCTATACAACAAATGGAGAATAGCTTAGGTTTTAAATTGTATTTCCTTTGATATGAATTAGGATAATTCTTTGATTTGAGTTATTTCAAAAGACAAACCAACTCTTACTTTAGTGAATTAAACCTGCAAAGGTCACAAAGAAGCTTGTTACTCACAATAGATGTTCTTTACTCTCTTCTTACCTGACCATGTTCCTCACGCAAAAGAGAGGAATATGATTATCAGTAACTAATTCAGTGATATTGGATTTGTTTAGTTATTTAACCGGGAACTTACTAAGTGGACCCGTGCCTGATTGGATTTTGCAAAATGGAGAAAACATGTAAGTTATCTTCTAAAGCCATAGAGTGCCTTCTCTGTTGGTTTTCATGGGCATTAATTAATCCATTATTCATGTTGTGATTACACTTGTAGATTATTGATTGCTTATGGTTCTAGTCATTTATTGATTGACTACATTCCTTGGCATTGAATTTTCTGTGACTCTCTTGAAGTACACTTCATTATTCTTTAACGTTAAATTTTATCTATGTATTTGTTTGATGCAGATGTTGGTTCAATTTTTATTTTTTATTTTTCATTTTCTTCATGGGCTCTATTACTTCTTGAACCTTGTGAACTTAGCTTGGATGAAAAAAGTCCTCATTTTAATTTGTGGGAACCCAGCGGTCTGGAAGATATGTGAATATTTTTCATTTGTATTGTATTGCCTCCACAAGAATATGACTTCTAATAACCAATCATCTTGGAAGTTGATAATCTGATCGTACCATCTTAGACAGGCCTCTAGCATGGGGTGAAAAGATTTTCCCTTTTATTCTCTTTCTCATAATTAACTAAATAAAATCCAATATGGCCACCTAAGTATTAGAAGCCAAGGATAGATCATAGCCTTTTCTTAGATTAGAGTGGTGGATATAGCAATTAAGACTTCAAGTGGTTTATTGCCACTACCCATGTTACCAATCAAGTTATTAGTTAAGCTGAGTGGAAAATAATAAGTACCCACATAGAAGGCTTAGGTAAAATTGTCACAACTTAGAATTATTATTGTTCCCTTTTCAATTATGTCATCAACTAAAATGGATGAAAAATAGTTCTTATCTCATGTTATATTCAAGCCTGGGATGAATCATGGTGTGAATTCTCCATGCAGTGATCTTTCCTAGAACAACTTTAGCTCGTTGGGCCCAAGTTGTCAACAAAGGACTGTGTAAGATTACTTTCAACTTAGAATTATTATCATTTCTCCAAAATCTTCTCTGAACTTTTCTTTCTCTGTGTTTTTATATAGAAACTTATTTGAAAGCTCTTCAACGGGTAATACATCGTAAGTTGTTAACCTTTTGTAAGCACCTTCATCATAAATTTCTGTTGCTTTCATAATCCATTTGAGCATTGCTTCAAATTATGTTCTTGTTATAACTCATATTATGACCCCACTTGATTGAGATACAAAACTTAGTTTGTTTTGGTTATAACTCATTTTATGGTATGACATGATGCTGACTAGTTCATGATCTCACATTGTTGTGCCAGTGGTATTGTGTCCTGCTTGAGAAGCTTTCAGTGCCCACAAAGTAAGTTAAAATTTTGTTTTTCCTTTGCATTGCTATTTGATTTGATTTCTCTGGTCATTTATACTGTCATGAACTATATAGAAAAGCTTTAAGTAGCATAGGCACAGACAAGGGACACACATGACAAAACATGAATATGGCACATGAAAAATCCTAGAACAGTAAAATACGGACACAGAAAGGACACAAAAAGTATAATATATATTTAGATAATATTAAAATAATATATATTTTTAGATAAATATATTTTTGTTGTTTATCTGCATTTAATGATTATTTTTTTTTTTTTCAGAAGTTTTAAAAAAAAAAAAAAAGAAGTCAGTGGCTGAACTAAAAAAAAAAAAGAGTAAAAAATATATATATTTTTTTATTGTCAATTTTTTTCAAGGGCTGTGATCAATCATCAATTTTGTCCATAGGCCACGTCAAGATAAAATATTCAAGATGATGTAATGCAAAGCATGGCTGAAAATGTGAAAATATGCATGTCTGAGAAAACTAAAATTTCTCATATACGCAAGAGGCAAATGTAAGAGAAGTTAACTTGAGCCCACTAAATTGATTAGGCCCAATCAGAAAGCCTAAGATTGGTGGGCCTAGACTTATCACCATCAAACGGGCCAGATCGCTTTAAGTCTCGAAAGAGTTCAGATTCACGAACTTAGAGACTTACTCGGGCCCGGACTTGAAAGGGCATTGAGCAAGCCTAGAGATCCGAGGCATTCAGGCTTCGAACAGATTTGATCATAATCTAGAAGCCGCTCCATTGGTGAGTCCCAGAACATTTGCGGACTTGGAGCATTTTGGGATCGACCCACCAGAATCATGAGTGAGGTTAGAGCTCGAACAAAAGGCCCGAATCCCGAGGACGGTGGGTGGAGATAAATTCACCCTTCGGTTGATTTTGCCTATACACGGGTCGAGGTGGCACGACCCTGGGGGGTCCATGAGACCAGCAATATTAGCAACAGGGGGTTCTCTAGGACTACCTCGGCCTTTTGGGATGATTGGGAAGCATTGGTTAGGTGTGGCTAAGAAGAAGGGTTCGCTGAGAGGTTGATTTCTCTTCGGGGTTTTTCTTATCCTCGGAGAGGTCACCTCCTCGGACAAGGTGGTTAGAGAGAATATTCTCACATGGCTCCATCCTACATGATGAGGTGCCTATAAATAGCACACGCCCATAGCTTTACAAGAGATGGATTTTGGAGAGACAACTCTTAGGAAAGAACTAATTTGTTTTCTCTATTATCTATCTTGAGAATGAAAATGGGAGATCCATGGGAGAATCTTGCCATTATTCTCTCTTTAATTATTTTGTCTTTTTCTTCGCCCAATCTCTTATCTTGATAATCTCCTTGCTATTGTGTTCTTAATTGTGACTGTTGAAGAATCTAAACATCTCATCATTCTTAGAGAATTTGAATTTTCTTCAAAAATCTTCGACCGTTCTTGAAGCCTCTCATACAATTGGTGTAGCGAAAGTAGAATTCGTGATTCATGTAGCGATCTTGGGGAAAATGAATTTGCTGAGATGGAATACATGAACTTCACTGTAATTTCTTCAAATAAACCTTATGGAATATCGGATGGCTCAAATCCATTCTTTGATAGTCATGTGATCGCAAAGTTTCATTTGCAAAGGGATGGGGTGCATAGTGGCCATGTGCAGACCGGAATGTGCGATCCATTTTGCCTTGTCCATAACGGGAAAGGGAGATGTGAGGTATTTGGTTTCACCTATTTTCTTAAATATTACTACTTTTGAACAATTTTTTGTAATAAGGGTGTGCTTTGAAGTAAATCCAAAGAATTGGACAAAAAAACATAAAGCAAAAAGTAGAATTGCGAAGGATTATATTTAAAGAACTTGTTTGTAATTATGTAGATTGTGTTTCATTCTAAAACTTCTTTTTAAAAAAAACCCCCAAGTTTTTTTTGTTCTGGTAGGACAGGGTCCCAATTAACAACTGCTTAAAATTACTGAAAATTTGAGACAACTTTAAGTTGCTTTAGAGCACATGGAGATCGCTTTGAACTCAAATGTGCACAATGAGCTATATCGTTTAAATTGCTGAATTTATTACATTGGTTGGTTGTATTGATCTGATGTGGGCATATTTTCAGATCACCGGAGTGTGAAGGCGATCCAAAGGAAGACGACTGGGACAGGCCAGATGAGGTACCTCCGCAACGTACCTCGCAGATTCAAGAGTAGTTTCAGAGAAGGTGATACCTCCCACCCCCTTACATTTTTCAATAGGGTTAATTTCATTTTTATATGTATGGTGTGGTTAATTTTTGTATTTATTTTTAAATTATTAATTAATTTCATTCATTTTGTTCTTAAAGTTTCTAATTTTAGATAATATGATCAATTCGAGATTGTTGATATTGTTTTCTAAATGTTATTGTTTCTTTTCTCTTTGTTTTCAATTTCTAAGTAGCTAATTTCGAATTAGGTTTAGATTTCGATTTAGATTTCTTTCAATCTTGTTTTCAATTCTAACCTCCTTTGATCTTTGGATCTGTTGTCTTTTAGAATGAGGCCCTTTGGCTATCCGGTTATCCTGTTTGTTTTCTCTTGAGGTTTTTGTTTCTATTGATTCAAAGGTAAGCAATGGAAGATAGCAAGAACCCTAACACGATGGTCAGATGCAACTTGATGTGAGCATTACTGCAGTATCTGCTATTACGGTGTGGGTTTAAGGCAGTTGATGGTTCAATGCATTACTCCATCTTACTTGTAGTTGACTCATGGGATTGATGTCCCTGAAAAATGTAGTTATTGGTTAATTCTGTGCCAATGTATTGTGTAATTTTGTATAACATTAATTTCATTAGACATCGATTATTATTTTATTGATTTTTCCCTCGAGAACATTTGTTAGTGGTATAATTCTTTAAAAACATCCATGACAAACTCAAGTCAAGTCAAGTGGTTGTTCATGTTTTGTTGAAGATGCATTTCCCTGTGCAGGGAATCTCAGGTATTTTGTATATCATGTGCATTTTGATGTCTGACATCCTTTCTTCATGTCTTTTTGGCTCCATTCCTATTTTGGTTGTTCAACGTCACCCATTCAGCATAGTTGATTAGGAGGCAAGAAATAGACAAATAGGTGGCTTGTAAGCCTCCTGAGAGATATCCAACTTTGTGTAATAAAAAGTATATTTAGAAATTCCTACTTTGCAAAAGATAAAATAAGAAAGAACCTTTCCTGTCCTGCCTATACAACAAATGGAGAATAGCTTAGGTTTTAAATTGTATTTCCTTTGATATGAATTAGGATAATTCTTTCATTTGAGTTATTTCAAAAGACAAACCAACTCTTACTTTAGTGAATTAAACCTGCAAAGGTCACAAAGAAGCTTGTTACTCACAATAGATGTTCTTTACTCTCTTCTTACCTGACCATGTTCCTCACGCAAAAGAGAGGAATATGATTATCAGTAACTAATTCAGTGATATTGGATTTGTTTAGTTATTTAACCGGGAACTTACTAAGTGGACCCGTGCCTGATTGGATTTTGCAAAATGGAGAAAACATGTAAGTTATCTTCTAAAGCCATAGAGTGCCTTCTCTGTTGGTTTTCATGGGCATTAATTAATCCATTATTCATGTTGTGATTACACTTGTAGATTATTGATTGCTTATGGTTCTAGTCATTTATTGATTGACTGCATTCCTTGGCATTGAATTTTCTGTGACTCTCTTGAAGTACACTTCATTATTCTTTAACGTTAAATTTTATCTATGTATTTGTTTGATGCAGATGTTGGTTCAATTTTTATTTTTTATTTTTCATTTTCTTCATGGGCTCTATTACTTCTTGAACCTTGTGAACTCAGCTTGGATGAAAGAAGTCCTCATTTTAATTTGTGGGAACCCAGCGGTCTGGAAGATATGTGAATATTTTTCATTTGTATTGTATTGCCTCTACAAGAATATGACTTCTAATAGCCATTCATCTTGGAAGTTTATAATCTGATCGTACCATCTTAGACAGGCCTCTAGCATGGGGTGAAAAGATTTTCCCTTTTATTCTCTTTCTCATAATTAACTAAATAAAATCCAATATGGCCACCTAAGTATTAGAAGCCAAGGATAGATCATAGCCTTTTCTTAGATTAGAGTGGTGGATATAGCAATTAAGACTTCAAGTGGTTTATTGCCACTGCCCATTGTTTATTGCCACTACCCATGTTACCAATCAAGTTATTAGTTAAGCTGAGTGGAAAATAATAAGTACCCACATAGAAGGCTTAGGTAAAATTGTTACAACTTAGAATTATTATTGTTCCCTTTTCAGTTATGTCATCAACTAAAATGGATGAAAAATAGTTCTTATCTCATGTTATATTCAAGCCTGGGATGAATCATGGTGTGAATTCTCCATGCAGTGATCTTTCCTAGAACAACTTTAGCTCGTTGGGCCCAAGTTGTCAACAAAGGACTGCGTAAGATTACTTTCAACTTAGAATTATTATCATTTCTCCAAAATCTTCTCTGAACTTTTCTTTCTCTGTATTTTTATATCGGAACTTATTTGAAAGCTCTTCAATGGGTAATACATCGTAAGTTGTTAACCTTTTGTAAGCACCTTTTTCATAAATTTCTGTTGCTTTCATAATCTATTTGAGCATTGCTTCAAATTATGTTCTTGTTATAACTCATATTATGACCCCACTTGATTGAGATACAAAACTTAGTTTGTTTTGGTTATAACTCATTTTATGGTATGACATGATGCTGACTAGTTCATGATCTCACATTGTTGTTCCAGTGGTATTGTGTCCTGCTTGAGAAGCTTTCAGTGCCCACAAAGTAAGTTAAATTTTTTTTTTCCCTTTGCATTGCTATTTGATTTGATTTCTCTGGTCATTTATACTGTCGTGAACTATATAGAAAAGCTTTAAGTAGCATAGGCACAGACAAGGGACACACATGACAAAACATGAATATGGCACATGAAAAATCCTAAAACAGTAAAATACGGACACAGAAAGGACACAAAAAGTATAATATATATTTAGATAATATTAAAATAATATATATTTTTAGATAAATATATATGGTGGCTATGATGGTTAAGAAGAAATGATTTCCATGCAATTTGTTGTGACAGTGCTTGATGAAGTGTAATGCTTTGTTTGGGGGGCGGGGCTGGGTGTTTCTGTTGTTATTTGTAAATGGGTAATGTTGAAGTGAATGGGATCATGGTGGCTATGATGGTTAAGAAGAAATGATTTCCATGCAATTTGTTGTGACAGTGCTTGATGAAGTGTAATGCTTTGTTTGGGGGGCGGGGCTGGGTGTTTCTGTTGTTATTTGTAAATGGGTAATGTTGAAGTGAATGGGATCATGGTGGCTATGATGGTTAAGAAGAAATGATTTCCATGCAATTTGTTGTGACAGTGCTTGATGAAGTGTAATGCTTTGTTTGGGGGGCGGGGCTGGGTGTTTCTGTTGTTATTTGTAAATGGGTAATGTTGAAGTGAATGGGATCATGGTGGCTATGATGGTTAAGAAGAAATGATTTCCATGCAATTTGTTGTGACAGTGCTTGATGAAGTGTAATGCTTTGTTTGGGGGGCGGGGCTGGGTGTTTCTGTTGTTATTTGTAAATGGGTAATGTTGAAGTGAATGGGATCATGGTGGCTATGATGGTTAAGAAGAAATGATTTCCATGCAATTTGTTGTGACAGTGCTTGATGAAGTGTAATGCTTTGTTTGGGGGGCGGGGCTGGGTGTTTCTGTTGTTATTTGTAAATGGGTAATGTTGAAGTGAATGGGATCATGGTGGCTATGATGGTTAAGAAGAAATGATTTCCATGCAATTTGTTGTGACAGTGCTTGATGAAGTGTAATGCTTTGTTTAGCAATTTTTATTTTTATTTTTTTGCATTCAGTTGCAAATTTGGAAAATGAAATCTTTATTTTAAATGGAATTCAATTATTATTTGATGATTTAGTGAAGTTACAAGAAAGGAAATTTGTTAATTATTGTTTCTAAGTTTTTTCTTTTTTAAATGTTATTGTTCCTTAATTGTGGTTGGATTAAATGAATTTTGTTCGATATTGGATTGAATGTTTATAAACAAAAATTGATTGTTCTAAAAAAATAAATAAATAAAATTTGGCGACTAAAAAATTGGTCGGCAAATTCTACACTTTTATGACTAAAATCATTGGTCGGCAATTCCTTACTTTTTGGCGACTAAATTGTTAGTCGGTGATTCCTTGACTTTTGGCGACTAATCTGTTTGGTCGTGCAATGTGACAATTGGCAACTAAAATATTTGGTCGGGAAAATATCACTTTTCGCGACCAAAGTGTTTTAGCGACAAAATGTATTAGTCGCAGTAATGATATTTTTAGCGACTAAAAATTTAGTCAGCAAATCTAACTTTTCCTGACTAACAAAAATTTTGGTCGCGAATTACTTTTGCCGACCCTCAATTGGCGACCAAAGTAGCGACCAAAAAAATTGGTCGCAGATAATTTTTGCCGACTAAAAATGGACTTTTAGCGACTAATTTTTTGGTCGGCAAAGGTATTATTTCTTGTAGTGCAAGTTAACCAAAGCTGAAGTTAGATGTGGACACTAACTAAATTCAACACAATGGTCACAGGATGGTTACACAAAGGAGGTAACCAGTCCAGAAGCAGTGCTCGCTCGTTCTTGTTGCAACAAAGGCCAAACAAGATAGCAATGTTGACAGTCTGCTCAACAATTTTTTTTATAGAAGCTTCTTGGAGAAAGATGGGGAAATATCTGCTGCTGGAAATATATAGTTGCTTGGTGCTATACTCAGTGCAATTGGTGAACATCAACAAAATGTAGGCATTGGATGAGTAGTGAAAAAAGCGAAAATTTACAGTTTAACTATAGTCAACCACCGGAATTCCAAGCTCCATTCAAATATAATAACTCCAAATATTTATTTGAATGCAGGTTATAAACCTTCCTGAGCAACTGGGAGGTTTGATATTGCTACACAATTTCCGTATTACAAGGAAGTTATGTTTTGACCAGATTTTTTAACAAGGAAACTGGAAAAACCTGTAATTTTTGACATGGATACGAGTCCTGTAGACTTCTTAGCTCTTCTTTATCTCTTAAAATTACCTGTGGAACTTACTGACCTAAAGGTAGATTAGCATTCTCTTTTGTTATTTCTTCTGGCAAGTACAATATCTATAAATTTTAACATTTTAACTTCACATATAGTAGGATTTGATTTTTTTTTTGTTTTGTTCCTGTTGATTAACTTTGCACTCTCACATATGTAGTTTCCCTTTCTTGTTGATTTGAACTACGTTTGGAAACGACTTTAAGAAAGAATTATTTCAAGGAGGACTTACGTGTAGGTCTTAATAGGTGGACTTATTATCTAATAGGTCCAATGATAATTAATAGTATTTTTCATCAAACACTATTAAAAAAACGTTATTAATTGTTAATTTTCACCGACAATTTGAAAAATTGTCACAAAAAATGTCACTAATTATCAGTTTTAGTTACAGTTTAAAAAATTATCACAAAAAATCACTGATTTTTAACTTTCAATGATATTTTGAAAAATTCGTCACAGAAAAAGTCACTAATTGTAAGTTTTAGTGACAATTTAGATCGTGACAAAAAAAAATCACTAATTGTCAATCTTTAGTGACATGCAAAAAATCATCATAAAAAATTATTTTTAGCGACGATTTTACTAAAACTTATTTTCAATAAGACTTGATGGGAATTAAGTCTAACTATTATGACCTGATGGGAATTAAGTCCAACTATTAGGACCTATTGACAATTTACCCTTATTTCAATGCACGCCGTGATTTTTCTGATATATCCAAGTTTGTGAGTATTAATAGAACACTTCTGTTTCAACTTTTAATCATCCTAACTTCTCTTTGAAAGAGGCTTTACCTAGACTTAACAAGAATTTCAACTATGAAATTGCTTAAAGAAACTGGAATTTGATATGGACTCTCAATAAAATCTAGAACTTGTTTGAAGATGCTTCCAAACTCATCCATAGATGATATGATTACTTTGATTTTTTTGTTTTTTTTTTTGTTTTGTTATTAGGGTAATTATTCAGTAATCTCAGAATATAGACACGTGATATTTCATAGCATTGTGATTAGTAGAAAATGTGGGTAGGTAGGGTATTATGTTAGAAACATGAGGGAATATATGGAATGATAATTGGTTAAATAGTACAGACTCGTGATACTATGGGAATATTGAATAATTTCCCTGTTATTAGTGGCATTGAAAGCAAGACTCAAGATAGGATTTTGCTCTCTAAATTTCAATGTTTGTCCAGGATATATTGGTAACTTCAATTGGTTGGGCCAATACTGCAACAATAAATATTGTATATGTACTGCAAATGATGGGCCGTGATGACATTCCAGTTGGTTTGGGAGACGTATTGGCAATAGGCCAAGCAGACCCATCTTTCACTCTCATTGGAGATTGCAAGTATAGACAGGCTATCCCTCGCTGCAGTGGTGGATTCTTGGACTCCGATACACTATGGTTTTGCTCACTGCTTGCCTCGTAGTCCTAGAAGGTATTGTTAGTCTTTGCTGTTATTTTGGCTGTATTTGTTACTTGAAAGGTCATTCCATTCGATCATCACCATATTATATAACGAAAGAGTGGTGTTCAGATCAAGGGAATATGAGAGGAAATGTGAACTATTTAGCTGTTTTATAGCAAAATAAGAGAAAATAAAATGCTTTTAGGACTTATCTTCATTTTCATTTGCATCTGCAAAAGTAGGTGATGTTTCACGACAAGTCAGTGGCTCAAATTTTTATAAAGTACCATTTACTAATTAAAAACAATGATCAAAGGTATTGTATTCCTTGCATGTTGATAACTGGATAAATTTAACTTTACACGATAAAACATGAAACAATGTGTTGGCCTGTAAATCAAAGGTTTGAGAACTCAGCTATATATTATAAGCCTCAATTATACCGATACATCAGTGTATGAAATACATTCCTTGTAGTTTCAACTTTTTTGTGTGCCACAAATTGCAAATCCTTCAATTAAGTTTTTTTTTTTTTATTTTTAATATATAAAATTTTTTAGAACTAAAATTTTATTAGAGAAAGTGCTAAGGGGACACCACCCATGTACAAATGGAAAAATGGCAAGAGAGAAAACACCCCAACCGAAAGGCTTAAGCATTTGATTAAGTTTTAAAGTTTTAAAGCATATTCCTAATCTGCATGTTAATTAATATTGGTCGTAATTATTGCAATAATGAAACAATATTAAAACCATGATATCTGTACGGCTTATTTTACCCAAACTCATGATACAATGACTAGATGTCTAATTGCCTAGAAAATCTGAGTTTGAAATTTCTATTTGAACCAATATCGTATGTATCTTATAAAAATGTTCCTTTGCTAATGTTAAATTACTGATTCAGGTACACAGCAGAGAATTCTGTAAAATTTGGAGCTCCTTGAGATACTGACCATCCTGAACTTAGGCACCCGTTAGCATTAGATATTTGTAAAATCACTGGATCCAGGTTCAAAGATTACTGGGTTGACCAATGGACCCTCGACTACTTTATCCCAAATCATCCTTTTTGAGAACACAAGCTCCGTGATTCAGGTCAGTTTTGTTATCATAGTTGCAGTTATTGTAGTCCAAAGTAATATCAGAAAAATGTGACTGAAGGTTTAGTTAATTCCCCAAAAATACCAAACTGATTCAACCCAACCCTGGGTTGATTTGCATGCTGTTTTAGTGTTTTCTTAAGTCACTGAATTATTCTAGGTGGGAAATACTGAGAAATGAATCAGATCAAATTTGTAGTTTTTCTATGCTTGGTTGATGGCCCAATAACCAACCCCACCTGACAATTGATCTATATCTTTACAATATTTGTTTTTGTATGAGGAGTCGACTCATGTTTTGGAGGCTTTTCAGTCTGCAACTTGAGTGTTCCATGGGTTCTCTCCATGTCGAAGTTCTGTCATTGACTCTCTGGCAGTCCATTTACATGTTGACAGAACCACATTATTGGG